CCGTAAACCCCTAAACCCTAAAACCGTAAGCCCTAAACCCCTAAACCCTAAACCCAAACCCTTAACCCTGAATGTATTTTGCGTAAGATGCAGCTAGCTCATACCATCGACTGTCGCATGTGGCTCAAGTAAAAAGTGTGCGATGTGTTCTGGCTGTCCTGCCCATAAATACAGTGGTTACAGGTTACCAGCCGCAGGTCTCACCGCAGAGGAACACGTTCGCGATGGAGCCAGCTCCCGTAAGCCTTGCAGGCATTCCAATTCTTATTCGACAACTGAGGAGGCGCTTTCACTTCCTGCTATGTCCGTTCAGGAAGATAGCGCGGACCAGTTGGCCCTCGCTCCCCGAGAGGGTGAAACTACCATACCGTTGACTGAAAGGTCACTGGCATTGCTGGGAATCTAGCGGGGTCGCCAGCAGCTGCAACTTCCTTGCAATATTCATCCCATGAGATTTCACAAGTGTCGAACTTCTATCACAACCAAATTATTGCACGTACCCTCAATCAACAGGCCCTTGTTCAGAATGACACAGGACCAGCAATTTAGGGAGCAGTTTGTCAGGTTTCAGCATGAGGCAATTTCAGGTGCCATCGATTGTCGTATTTGGCTCAAGTAAAAAGTGTGCGATGTGTTCTGGCTGTCCTGCCTACAAACATACGGGACCCCTAAACCCTAAACCCTAAACCCCTAAGCCCTGAACCCTTTTTTAAACCTAAGCCCTGAACCTGAACCCCTAAACCCTAAACCCTAAACCCCTGAATTTCGGAAGCCGAAACTCCGACGGTCCCTGTCAAGGCTCAAGCCTTAAATCCTGTTGCCTCACGTCCTAAGATCTGCCCCACGTAAACCCTAGGCCCCAAGCCCTCAATCCTAAATTCCAAGCTTTAAGCCTTAATCCCCTAACCTTGTGTGTGCTTCGGCAGACAGCAGTCATCACACTTAAAAAAGCCTGAACCCCTAGACCCTTAAACCCGAAACCCCAACGCAAGGGAGCCATTCAGGTGATCCGAAGCACACGACGAAGGCCCTGCTGAAGCTGGTGAGCATGGATGGTCCTGAGCAACCCGGAAGGCAGGTTTAGGGTTTAGGGGTTTAGGGTTTAGCGGTTTAGGGTTGAGGGGTTTAGGAGGGGATCAGGGTTTGGGGCTTAAGTCTCATGGTTCAAGGATAATAGGTTCAGTCCAGGGTTTAAGGTTTAGGGTTCGGGTTTCGTGTGGCCATCTCGCACTATCTTGGGCTACGGCTCCCCAGCCCCTGGAACCTAGCACCTACCCGACGCTCAAACCCCTTAAGCCTCAGCCTCTTGTGCTGATGGAGAATAGGCGTTTGCGTTTGTGGTTTTAGGGTTTAGGTATGGGGAGGGAAGAAGCAAGCTGTTGGAAAAGGCTTGAAGCAAGACTGAGTTAGGAGAACTTGCTCGAAACAAACAGCGATCAGCTGTAAACACACCGAAATCCTGAAACCCCAAGAGCTTTAACACCCCTGAAGCCTGAAGGCTAAAGCGCCTAATGGTATCCCAATCCAACGACAAAAGCCATCAAACCTTACACACCAGCCTTAAGGAATATGCCTCCCAAGTTGGTTCTTCACTCATCCACGGAATCTTTGCGTTCGCCGACGCCGTATAGTTCGTGGGAAAATTTGGAAGGGTTGCGAGTTTAGCGCAGAAGTTTAGTTTATATAATTACCAGCAAATTCATTGGGGTTCCTTGTTATATATACTTTGAAAACGATATATACATCTGTGTACATATATATATATACACATCATATCGCATTGTATAAACATATATATATATACATATTGTTTGCATACATATATCTATATCTGTATCTGTATCTATATCTATATCTGTATCTATATCTATATCTGTATCTACAT